TTATCAGAAATAATTTCGTTTTAGGTGTGTGTATTTTGATATTTTGATAAATTGAAAAATTTCGTTTCGTAAAAATTTTTAGAAGAATTGAAAATTTGAAAATTAATATAAATTTATTACGAATACTTTCCTTCTATTGTCACGCGAATCAAATTGTCGTTCATATCGATTCGATGATATCACAATAGGATTTAAAGTAGTCGAAGAGAAAGATTTGAAATATTCAATAAAAAGGATCCTCTTCTTTTCGATCATCCGATCTTCGTCTATTTTAAAATTTAAATAATATTATTTGATTCAGAAACACAATTCGCGAGATCCTCTTCTAGTCAAAAGGCATTTAATCTTGAATATAAGTTTATCCGAGAATCGTAAGATATTTATTCCATCGCGATTAATTTACCGAGCCACTCTTGTTCATTTTTCTTCTCCTTCTCTCGAGGTTTTAATAATTTCGAGATATTTCTCTTATGTATACGAAAAATTTCAATTTCATTTCCCGATTTAATTCCATGCTATACAATTTTTTTTGAAAAAAAAAAAAAAAAAAAAAAAAAAAGAATTTATTCGGGAGTACTGGTTATTGATTCCATTGAGACCTGTGCTAATATTTTTAATGCGTTGCTTCAGCTTTGTAAGATCGGCAAGACACTTTGAAATTCTCGTCAAGAACCGATTCTATAATGCTACTCCCATGCGGATAGTCCGCGCGAGATTTCACCAAGAGACGATATTTTTAATGAATCTGATAATTACTTCTCTTTGAACGAAAAAAATTAAAAGTATTTCAAAAGCAGTAGGTCGCGTTGAGAGTTTGAAAATATATGTTAATTTATTTTTAATTACTCGTGTATAACGAGAACGAAATCGGTGTATGGAAATATCGATTGTTGGAAAAACTATATCAAAGTTTAAAATAAATAATTAAATATCGGAAAACTTGAAATATTAAAGAATTACGCCGAGAAATATATTTAAGTACGTTGGTATCTAAAAAATGATGCGCGACGTAACGATCCAGAATCTTTACGATTGCGACGTTCTTTTTCCAATTTCGAACGCAATCTTTTTAAGGAAAAGATTCTCTTTCAAATTTTGAAAAAAAGATTTCCAAGTTTCTGTTCCAATTTTGTTTGTACCCTCTGTGATGAAGGAAAGCAACGAAGAATCACTGTAACTTGTACAACGCATAACTTTTTCACCACACAGACGCTGCATGATACATGGGTTATACGGGCACAATGTTGCTTGCGAAACAATTGATGTTCTATGAAAAATTTATCGAAGCATTCGTTTCCCAAGACTTGGTATAAATTCTCGTTCTGTAACAGTTTTTTTTCCATTGTTCGCCATCATTGAAATATCGCTTCATCGTTGTTACGATATATTTCCAAAAAAAAAAAATGACCTCCACTTGTTTGAGAAGTTTTCCTTCAACGAAATATTTATTAATGAAAATTTTTGCTCGTCTATAAAATCTTTGAAAGTTTCATGATTTATTTAATGAACCAGTTGTGTATACATTTCCTTTCACGATTTAGCTTGAAATTGCATATTGCGGCAAAGGATATATATTTATTTATATAGTTTTATCCATGAAAAAAGGTTAAATTAGGTTTAGGTATAAGATACGATTTGCAATATATTATAACTGCAATCTTTCAAATATTCTCAAATTTTTTTATAATAATATTGGTAATATTTCATTTAACATTAAATATCAATGTTATATTAATTTCATGTTTTTATACAATTTTTTTTAGGTTTAAACTTAAATAAAAATAGCATACACATATTTTAATTGTATATAGTACCTGACGATATAATAATAGTTATAATAATAATAAAAATAGATAAAAATAGAAAAAATTCAATAAGTGATCTTAAATAATGATAATTTTATTATCTATCTTGATATTTAAGTAAAGAAAGATAAATTGCCTTGCAATTTCTTACTTCAATCTTCGTAAAGTTTGTTTGTGACAAATAAAGCAAACTCTATCTATCATTGTCCTATAAAATTCACATTTCCATTTTTTCAGTTACAAGTTATACAAATTCATTT